TGAAAACAACATAAGAAAGTAATGGAAATAATGACCCTGAATGAGCTGTTCTGGGTCAGAGGACTTTCTTTCAGTGGGAGGGGGTAAGGAAGAGAAAGTGGGCAGTACTATTGGGCCATTCAAAGTCCAGGATTTAGGGCAAAATTCATGTGAATTTGGGCTTTTCCATCTCCTCCACCAGACAATGAGCCTAACTTGTTTTTTTCCTGTTACTCAGGATCCTGACTCACAAAGAGCAGTGAGGCCCTAGGCTCTATCACCATACTTAATGTTACACACACATACAAGCAAATCTTGCTTTCTTTTTATGCCCAAACATATTATGAGTGGTGGGAGATTAGATGACACTCTATCCCCCATCCTTCCTTCAGGGATAGACAGCATCATACTGATGAAATTATTTTGGTTGAAACTTACAAACCTTTAGATAATTGGAAGATTCTTTCTTTAGCAATGACCATGATAAAAACCTAGGGATCCAGATTCAAGTACTGAATGGGTTTGGCTATATTTCAGGGAAATAAATGCTTCTTTGTCCCCTTCCCCCTGTATATGCCAAGTTCTTTCTCCCCCTTCTACCTCTGCTCACTTCCTTCTCCATACCTGGAATGTCCTTTCTCTTCCTCTTTCCTGGTGAATTCTTTCCCATACTTCAAAGACCAACTCATGTGCCTCCTTCTCTATGAAGTCAAGTCTAATCTTCCCTTCCTTCTTGGATTTCAGAGAGCACTTAGTTTGGTCTTTTCATGCAACCTCAGCTATACTGAGAAGCTTTGGTGCCTTATCATAACAGCCCAAGAGCCCCAGGAAGGCTATGATTGTGACTTGGCTGAATATGGTATCTTTCTCACACGCAGACACAGGTGTCTGCATGTAGTAGATGCCTCATCAATATTTCTTGACCTGAATTGGATCTAGGAGGCTCTTTCTCCTTTAGCCTTCAGGTTTAGCAGGGAGTTCCTCGTGCTCCTAGGACATCTTTGCACCCATTTTTATATGCCTGGGGTAAGCCTTGACTATTTCAACAAATGCAAAGGGGAATGAGGGATAAGAAAGAAATTAAGGCAGAAGATAGAAAGGGCGGATCTGAGCTGCTGATTCTAGTTCTTAAAGGGGCTTTTATTCTTCTCAAACACTTGCAAGGCTAGACTCCATTTTAGGTTTCTGTGGAGAGGACCAGTTTGGGTATGAGACGCTCTGTGAGCTGTAAGCCTATGGTTTGCATTTTTGACCCCTGAAACAATGGGAAAGACTCAGGATATGGATGATGGTCTATTATATTTTCTCTACCAGATCCCACTTTTATTGACAGAGCTCTATTCACTGTTGCAAATGATTCCAGACATTTTATAAATGAAACATTTCACTATCTTTCAGAGCCCTTTTCTTAAATGAATGGTAATTATTGGCCATGTTTCATAGAAAATGATGATACTGAGTCAATTTTGGGGTACTTGTCAGGAACAGGGGACAATATGTGTCAGAGTATGGGTGCTGCCATTGAACAAATCATCAGCCTTTGAAATGCTGAAGTGTGTAGAGTGCCTAGAAAGAGGGAGCTGAAGGACCAGCTTCCTGCTGCCCTCTGCCCACTCTCCCCTTCAGGCCACCACTAGCATGCTGAGCTCAGTTCTGGGCAACATCTTTTATAAAGGTCTTTGACAAACCTTTGTGGCCAGAGGACAGTGATCAGGAGGGTCAAGGGATTCAACCCTAGGTCATATGAGGATCCCTTCAAATAAATGGCTATTTTAAGCATGAAACCCACTTGCACAGACGCATACGATTGCTATATTTTCATATGTGCTAGCCTGTCAGGTGGAAAGAGGATTAAGGGTGCAAGGTACAGCTCTAGGTGGCAGAATGTGGCCATATCAGGTAGAAGGTGAAGAGAAGTAGATTTCAGTTCAGCATAAGGAAGAAAGCACTTTCTAAAACTGAGAGCTGCATAAAAATGGGATATGAGTCTTATAAGGTACTGAGTTCTCTGTCACCAGTGGTGTTTGAATAAAACTTATAAGATTATACATTAAAATGTTATACAAAGGATTCACGTGCATGTTGACCAAGGGGTCAGGTTGTGTGACCCCTCATGGCCTACCAACTGGCCTGCTTCTCCTTTAGACAAATAACCCATATTTGAGAGGTAGTTGGCCGGGTTAGGGATGTATCCTATGATTCACAATGAAAGATTGTTTTTCACCTCTGTAGGGATTTGCCACCTTCCCCTCATAAGTATCATAGGCTTGTTGTCTCAGCTTAGTGACCCAGATCACGAAGAGTTTAACTCAGGCTCCTTGAATTTCACATGTTTGTTCATGGATCACTTCATTTTTTCCAAAGGCTGCCTGAGGGACAAGAAGGCACAGCTTGCAAATAAAGACACAGAGGTACAGAGAACTTAACTGACTAGTGAAAAAAGCATATGGGGAAGGAAGTTCTTAAGATAAATATAATATATAAATATATAAAATATAATAGACCACCATCCATATCCTGAGTCTTTCCCATTGTTTCAGGGGTCAAAAATGCAAACCATAGGCTTACAGCTCACAGAACGTCTCATACCCAAACTGGTCCTCTCCACAGAAACCTAAAATGGAGTCTAGCCTTGCAAGTGTTTGAGAAGAATAAAAGCCCCTTTAAGAACTAGAAAAGGAAGAGAAACCAGGCCTTGTGGCTATGGGGAAGGAGCTGTCTCTTAAGTGATCACTGTACTGGGTTTCAGCATGAGAAAAATGCCTGCTTTCTGGGGAGAGAGGGAGGGATGGTCAGAGAATACCAGCGAGTCTCCCTGCCTGGTGTCTCCCTGTCATGTATCAACTGCTCTGTCATCATTTCATATTCCAACTTGGGGATTACTCATATTCAGTTGTTCAGACAGAAAGGGCAAAGGTCACAGATTTACTAGCTAGGCTTTTCACCTTACCAGCTGTGTGACCTTGGGCAGGTCCTTGCACCTCTCTTGCCTTATTTGTGAAGGGAACTTGATATCCAAAAGGTCACCTAGTCCAACCCCATCATTTTACAGACAGAGAAACTAGGTCCAGAGAGGTAAAAAAATAACCATGCCCAAGGTCATACAGCTGGTAAGCGGCAGAGGTAGGATCTGAATCTGAGTCCTCAAACATTGACCTGAAAATCCAGTGTTTTTCCCATTGTCCCATGCTGTTCCACACAGAGCACGAACATGGATTTGTTCACCAAAACCTAGGTTCCCAAAATGAGGTGAGGGGTTCAACTATCAATGCAGGAAGTCTCTTTCCATTCTGCCCTAAGGGTAGTGAGCAAAGCCAGTGTCTGTGCAGCACTTGCTCCTGGGAAAGCATCGGCCTGGGAGCTATTTGCAGGTCTTCATTTGCTTTAATGTGCATGTTCCAGCTCTCAGTCTGTAGAGCTGTTCTCACTGACTAAACCTGGTTAGCTGTGCTCTGACAATGACTAACGAGTCCTCAGCCTCCTCAGAAGCTCCCTCCCAGCAAGATTGCCATAGATAGCTACACACACTCATAGATCAGGACAGACTTGGACAGCTACTGGACTTGGACAGCCTAGAGGCTGCTGGGTCCTGACTTTGTCTCTAGATGGTAGGATTCAGATGACCTTTAGGATCCATGGTCCTCTAATCACAGACTAGAGATCCCCAGAGAGTCACTGTCATATTTTCTTACTAAGTTTTCTGTGGAAATCAGAGACAGAACTTAAGCCCAGGTGGTGCTCTATAGAACCTTCTCATTTCTGAGTCTTAATCCTTCATTCCAATCCAGAGCTATAGAATTCCAGTGGAAGTTTCTGTCATACAGGGACTGAAATAACTTAACTTGTTCTATATTTATTAGACAGCAATGTGGCACAGAGAAAGAAATCTAGAAATGAAGTCAGAAGATCTGGGTTCAAATTCTGGCTTTGCATCTTACCACCTGTGGTATCTTGGGCAGGCCACTGAACCCCCTGTGTCCACAGTTTCCTCATCTATAAAATGAGGTGCATGTATGAACTACGGAACCTCCCTCAAAGGGTCCTTTCAACTGTAAAGGGTTCTTTTTAACTCTCTGATCACCTGTACACCTTTAAGGCCAGAGCTGGATGCGTGGGTTCTAGGCAAACCAGATGCCTAGACTCCCTCTTGCCACTCCTTACCCACACAAATACCCAGGACAGCCTATCTTGGCCAGCTGTACGAGACTCTGGACCATCTTCACCAGCTTGCCTTTGCATGACTTCCTTTCAGGCTTCCTACATTCCAGCCAAATTGGGTGACTTAGTGCTCCCTTATCTCACCACGCCCTCTCTTTGCTTATGTTACCTAATTAGCCTCTTTATACCCCAGTCACAAACTTCTGTGTATCCCCATCCTGTCCTTCCTTCAAGAACCAGGTTAGATGGCACATTTTCCATGAAGTCTTACTTACTGGCATCTTCTCAAATTTCACAACACTTGAGTATTCATACTCTAACTTGCATTACAGTTATTTTTGCATGCATCTCATTGACTCTCCCCATCCCACATCCTAGACTACAAGCTCCTTGAAGGCAAACACTAGGTTTTATTCATGCATGAATCCCCAGCATAGCATCTAGCATGGCCGCCTCTCAAAGAGCAGGAATTTAATAAATGTTTGCTGAATAGAAATACTTATAATTCTTCAAGTAAGGCAGAATTATGCACACATGATGCCTTGTTTATAATATCTGTTCTGCTCACAAGTTTTTCATTTGTTAGCATGTTAATATCCCTTTAAGGATCATATTTCTTCTGATGGCTTACATTTTATGAATATAGGTCTCCATTGTTAATAACTATCAAACTACCAAGGCCCTGTATCATTTAATGGGATAGATAAGGTGAGAGGGAGAAAGGGTACACACATCAGTGTCTTTCCAGAATGGTTTCAACCTTGAGGCAGGGAAATGGGCTCTGGGCCTCTGCAGGTCTCTCCCTGCCCTGCCCCACCCTCCCATCCTCTGATTGAAATGTCAAGCAGAATAGCCCCACCTACCTGTGATTTCAAAAGTGATGGATAGGAGGGGTGCAGCACTAGCCTTCGACGGGCTCTGAGACTGACTTTCTGAAATAACAGGGAAAGAGCAGCATAAGCAAAGATGTGTGTGCAAAGCAGCTTGAGGAAAAGGCACAGCAAGTGATTTCATTAATGGAGGTGCCCTTGTTCTAATCCAGCCCCTGCCTTCCTCAGCACTGGGGGTAGCAGCAGCAGCGCCCCCTTGCTCTCTGCACACACTACTTTACCCCCACATCCTTGTTCTGAGTGGGGTGCGGAGAATGTCTCCTCTGGAGGACCTCTTCCTCACACTGCACAGAAGCCCCAGGGCTTTACCTCTGGGGCATTCATGAAACACACAGAGCCCTTTGCTGTCTGGATCACAGGGAAATCTCCAATGGAGCTGCAGCAACTAGGCTTTCTTTTTCCTTCATTCAGAGTTCTCAGAAGAACCTTCTCCTATTCATGCAAACTGAGTCAAGTTACATTTTAGTCAGCTCTGGGGAACCTGCTCAGAGCGCCACCTCTCCCTGAGATACTTTGCTAAGCACCAATTTCACACTAACCCAGGCCCATAGTAGCATGCTCATATGCTTCCTGCTGGGCGCTGTGTAGGCATCAGGCAGAACAAGGAGCTGTCCAGGGTGCTGGTTGGCTCCTCTCCAGAGAGGAGAGGCCATCCTTAAACTCTATAGAAGAAGGGTCTCCCATTTGCTCACCTGAAGCTGGGCTGGAAAGGCTGCCAGGGCAGGAGCATTACAAGAAGCTGGCAGCAGGAGAAGGAGATGCGACACCAGGTGCAGTGGGAGCCATCTTCCTGCTGCTGCTGCGGCTGCTGCCTGCATCCGGCTGCATCAGTATGCTTCTGCTGAGGCTTAGTGACTCAGGGAGAATAGCAAACATCCGGGACAGTGCCCCTGCAGACCCAGCTGGGGCGCCAAAAGCGCAGTATCCCTGACTGGCTGGCTGCTTTAGGCATATACCAAGAGGGGCGTTGCCCATGTTTGTGCTGGGAAAGTCTGCAGGGGTGGGGGGGGGAATAGTGCAACCCCCTGTGCACACACGGCATCCATTTCCATTTCCTGGGTGTGATCCGAGCTGCAATGGGCTTGGCTGTGTGCTGCACTATGGCACAGATGGTCTAAGATATCCCACTTGTGACCATAAGGGCAGCCTGAGTTCCTCTGCTTGAATGTATACTCGGTGAACTAAGGGCTTGGTTTTTTGGAAATTGCTGAGTCATGGGTAGAAGCCAGACATGACAGCATCCCTGCTGTAGTCTGACTCCTCAGCAGTAAACATCTTTTGCTGTTGTTATTCAGTCATTTTAGTCATGTCGCACTCTCTGTGACCCCTAATTGGGTTTTCTTGGTAAAGCTATTGGAGTGTTTGCCATTTCCTTCTCCAGGTCATTTTACAAACGAGGAAACTGAGGCAAGCAGTGACTTCATCAGGGTCACACAGCTAGTAGAGGCCAGATTTGAACTAAGGAAGATGAATCTTCCTGACTCCAAGCCTGGCACTCTATCCACTGTACCACCCAGCTGCCCAGTAAACACCTTTAAGCAGTGTTAATCCCTTAAAATAATGACTAAAAAACAAGGATACTTAAAAGGGCCCATTAAGGAAGGTAGGCTGTCCTTGGGGCCCTCCTCTAACTGCTTCCCTGCAGATCAGGATTCTCCAACTTTAAAATCGCCACTGGGATTGATCAGTCAACAACAATTTATTCTGCACTTACTACATGCCAGACACTGGGCTAAGTGCTGAGAATATAAATACGAGTAGAACAAGTCAGTTCCTGCCCTGGAGGAGTTTATGTTCTAGTGGATAAAGATGTTGCTTTTGCAGCTGACTACTTTGAAAATGCCTGGCTTAATTTTCATTGAGGAATTCATGTTCTGCCCATCTTCATCTGCCCTGCTTTCTGTCTACTCCTGCTAACCTGGAGGTGCAGATTTCCCAGGGGATTTGATGATCAGGGACATACCATGTACATGCACATGACAATAGTTCCTGCTGGGAAATTTTAAATGGAACTTGTACAAGTATAAACATTGTTAGCTTTCCCCCCTAAATCACCAAAAACTTTCAGAAAGCGGCAAATATTCCTGTGAGGTATGTATCAGGTTTAGTAGCTAGGCAGCTGGTGGTTGGAGCATTGGATATGGAGTCAAGTAGAGCTGAAGTTAAATCCTGCTTCATACACTTACTAGTTAGCTATATGACCCTGGGCAAGTGCTTAATACATCTCAGTTTTAGTTCCTTTATCTGTGAAATGGGGATAATAATAGCATCTATCCCACAGAGTGGTTGTAAGGATCAAATGTAAAGGACTTTCCAAAGTTTATAGTACTATAAATGCTAGCTACTGTTACTTAGGGACAGTCTTGATGTTTTCATTGAAAGGACATAAATTTCCATAAGATAAGTCGTATCATATATTAACAGCATCAATACTCATTTTATCTGACTTTTGTACTACATATGGACATTTATACTGACATTTATTCTAACCCAACATCTATTTTAATAGAAGTATGCACATAATTTTCTCTCTTGCACTTTATCTGGGGGAAGATATTTATTTTAATGTGATTCCAGGTAAAAATTTCCAAAGCCTTCAGGAACTTTGCTAAGAAAGTCATTTGGTGGAAATGCCTAACATTGGGCTGACTGTAAAAATCTGCAAGAGAAGCTTTGTTGACCAACACTACCCTTGAGATGGGGTCAACCCTATCTCAAAAACTTGCCCATGAAGCTTGTCAGATAGGCCCCAACTATATTTTTGCAATAATGACAAGGCACCAATATGTGTACTTAGTTAATGTGTCAACTCATAAAATCATGTCTTAAATACATCGGGTTCTAAATTTGTCTCTAGGAGTTCTTAGGAAGTGAGTAAATGGAAAAGAGAAGGAAAGATCTATCCCTGGTAGAACTTCTTGAAGGCCTTGCCACAGTATGTGAAGACACAATTGACACATTGTGTCATGTAGATTGGACACCACCAAGGACCAACCTTATGTAGTTCTGGAGAGATAGACTTACCAAAGGGACAAAGGAGGGGGTGCATACAGATAGTCACAGTTTTGGGACTATAGGCAATCCTAACACCAAAGTTAAGAGTGTTTCTCACGCATTTAGAAAGCCTGCATGGTACAGAGTTTTGTGGTAAGAAATTAAAATGCGTAGATATGAAATGAATATACATTAATATGGGAGATGGTATGTCCAATGTGGTTAAATGGTCATTCTTGGTGTGAAGAATACCTGGGTTCTAGACCTGCCAGTGACACATACTGGATGTGTGACCCTGGGCAAGTCACTTAGCTGCTCAGTGTCTCAACTCTTTAAGACTGTAAATTAATTTCCATATAAGAAATTCCCTTAAACAAAAATAAAGCAAGCATAACCTGGACTTTCGGGGTGATTCTGGGAGAGGAAAGAAGTCTTTTGTCAACTAAAAATGTTGCTGTTATTTTAGTAAAGGGCCTGGGATTTCCTTGTGTTCTATGAGGTAGGCAGGGTCTCTCCAGCATACTAAGGCTGCACCCAGATGTTTGATTCTAGCTACCTGAAAAAGTGTTGCTGGAACCTGGACTAACTGGTTGAGACTGAGAGGAAATAATAATAGGCTGGGGCCTTCTCATATTTCCCTATGGGGAAAGTGGGTATAGCAACTTTTCCAGAGATTCTTCTCTGTTTATCTCTTTTTCACAAGAGCAACTGTTCTCAGCCTGAAGAGGAAAGCAAAGGCCAAAGACCTATCTGGCAAAATGGTGACCCACATGAAACATCAGTGCCTGTAGCTGGTCCATTTTGATGATTCCATACAGTGATTTTCATCCACCCTCAGCTTAGGGTGTGGGCTGCCAGTGTGGTTGCATGGCTATTTTTGACGACTGGTTTACATCCCATTCTCTCAGCTGAATGTGCCCTAAATCAGAGCTAGAAATGGGGAGGCAATGGGTGTTTTCATCCCAGTAATCTTCATATCTAATTTACTGTTTTCTCCATTTCCTTTAGGAAGTGCAGTCCAGCATCTCTGGACCCAAATGTGAAGCTGTGAATCCCCAGGTCCTCCAATATAGAGGCCACCAAAGGGCTTCTGTGACTGAACTCAGACCTCCTCTGAGAACTGTTCAAGAGTAAGAAGAGCCTGGCATCCTGGGTAGTGCAAAAAGCATGTATACTTTAGCATACAGGAGACCTGGAAGACTGATAATCTCATCTGCTGCTCCTATGATCTAGGAGTAGACTCAGACCACACATGTTCTTAATGACTCCTGCTAATGTGCTTCTAGACGGAGTTACTTCCATCCATGCTCTCTGCACAGCTGTCTTGCTCATTGTCTGGCTTTCTTGGCACTGTGAGGCAGCTAAGGAGGAAGTCAAGGTTTATATCTATTCCTCTGGGACCCGAGTTTCTCAGAGCCACAAATAGAGATTTTTCAATCAGGACTACTGCCTCTGGAATGTCTATTTGGACAGTGTGATCATAAAAATGAGATCAAGATTTGTCCTTTGCATCTTTGAGTCCTTAGTACTGAACACAATGCCTTATAAACAGTAGGCACTCAATAAATGCTTCTTTCATTGCATTAGGTTGTCACAGTTTGGACTTGAGTTTTATTGACTAATAGAGATAGTTGGTCATGACCCTCAGGACTTACGGATAATGAATTTTATTTTTTTCAATAATTATATTTGAGGGCTTATACATGACTTTAAAAGTATATACAATTTCACTTGATACTTTTCCCTTCATATAACTAAATTTCCAGCCAAGTGGCTCTCTGATACTACAGCATGGCCTGGAGGTGAGCCTGGTTAGCTTAGTACTCAAGATGTGGCAGGACCTACCATCTGGAAAGCCTTTGGGTCCAGGCCAAATGAAGACGGTAAGTCCTTTATTCTTGGACCAGCTGGGCAAAGCTTGGAGAGATATTACTCACAAGAAGTTTGGCTCCCAAGGGTTAGTGGTTATTTTTGGTAATGGAAGTTTATGAAGCCTGAATACTGAGTAGGGGATCTTAACCTGGTATTCATAAAGTTGTTTTTTTAAAAATTATTTTGAGAACTATATTTCAGTATAATTGACCTCCTTTATAATCCTATGTGTCTTACATCATGCATTTAAAATCACAGGGTATGGCTGCTTCCAAAGTTAAGAATTCTTGGTATAAAGGGAATTGCCACTCTCAGCAGAGGGGCTGGCCAACTCAAGCAGCATACTAGCATTTGTTAAGCACCTGCTTTGTGTCAGGCAGAGTACTAAGTGCTAGGGAGACAAAAAGGGACCAAAATAGCCACTGCCTTTAAGAAACTTGTGTTCCAATGGAGGAGATAACATGGATACAAGTAGGTGAATATGAGATACAGGCAGAGGAGAAGGACATCAAGGACGTGGCTCAGCTGAAGGACTGAAGAAGGAAAAAGTATAATTTGTGCAGACTCTTCTTCAATCACATGAGAAACTACTGGCTTAGAGATCATCTAAGAGCATCACTTATTTATAATATATATTATAATATATCTTTATCTATTTCAACACGTCGAGGACTTAAGTTGTCCCCAATCTATGTTTCCAGTCTTATTATGCAGATTGGAGTTGGGTCAAATTGACCTTTCTGCTGTTCCTTATGCAGGGCATCCCATCTCCTATCCCCATGCCTTTGCATCGGATGTCCTCTATGCCTGAAGTTCACTCCCTCCTCACCTCTGTCTTTTGGGATCCCTAGTCTTCTCTAAGGCTTGGTTCAAGCACCATCTCCTATAGGAAACCTTGTCTGTTTCTCTCAGCTACTTGTATCTGCTTTGCTTCCCCAAGAATTACTTAATTACTTGTATTTATTTTGTACAGATTAGGGATTCTCTCTCTCTCTCTCTCTCTCTCTCTCTCTCTCTCTCTCTCTCTCTCCCTCTCTCTCTCTCTCTCCTTCCCTCCCTCCCTTCTTCCCTCCCTCCTTCTCTCTCCTTCCCTCTCCCTCCTTCCCTCTCTATACACACATATAATGTCTCCTCAGACTAGACTTAAGAGGCAAGGATCATCTGACTTCTGTCTTTGAATATCCAACACCTAGCACAGCATATGGAATACAGTAGATGCTTAAGAAATGCTTGTTAATTGACTAATTCTCTTTTGTCAGTGCTGGTTATCCATTCACCAACTTAGACAACCTCCCATCTACAATTTATATGATGGTTTTTGCAAGTTGCTGTTGCTGAAAAATGCTTCCCTTGCTTCCCATTTGGTGATGGGCCCTCCCAAGCTTAGACCAGCTGGTCCCTAGGGGATAGACATGTAGCTGGTTGACAGCTTGCATTTGGGGCATTTTCAGGGTACTAGGACCTGCTAGAGCACTGGTTCTGCTGATGCAGCCTATGAGAGCAACAGGTCACCTTGGGGGGACCCAAAGATCTCTTGATGTTATAGCTGTATGTGTTGAAGCTGTATGTTGGTAAAGTTTTGTTTTTCAGAGCCACAGGTCTGAGTTCATTCCAAACACAGTGTCCAAGAGTCTACCACCTCAGTTCTAGGAAGCTAGTAACATAGTCTCTAGAGAAGTTGCAGTGGGGTGGGACATCAGCTTGGGAAGGTGCTGGTCAATGAATGCATTGCATTCAGTACACTTAAGGGCATTTTACTTACATTTAACCCACCAGTTAGCTTGTAATAAAGATATGAACGTGCTTCCATTAGAAAATGTTACAAAAGACTTTTCAGTGTGTTTTGATTGACTGAATACCTAGGTCTGAGGGAACCTACCTTTTCCTTAGAAACATGAACAGTATTCACTATGCTGTGGTCATAGTGGTCAAACGGGATATATCAGGAATACTCCTAACACCCCAAGCAGTGTGGGCATGGTGGCACAGGAAGACTGAATGAAAAGGTCCATGAGAAAAGAGGGTTGGGGGACATGGGATTTACCTTCTTTTTCCTTGAGTGTGTTCAAATAGGAGAGGAGGTTCTCATTGGCTTGCACACAGTAGACCTCTCGTGTTTGGATTCCTCCTCCACATAGGGCAGTCTGATTCCCTCTTCTTTTGTCTTGTTGGCTGAGTAGTGGGTCAACTCGACACTCAGTCCACTCTGTAGTTCTCCAGCCATACCTAAATCAAAGCAAATAGCAAGAGGAGGAGTCAGCAGGTGTCACTGGCCGCCTTGCTCGCTAGGAAGACTTAGCCAGATGTTTTCCAATCCCAACTGACCCTTCCTTAGATAAAACACACAGTGCACTTGAATGGCAAATAATCTCTTCCTCTCCCTCTACCTCTCCTCTCTGTCTTCAGGTCTACAACAGCAATGGTCAAATTGAGTAAAATCCTGTGTTTAACAATCAATAAAGCTCATATATCAGTACTTGGTGGCAAGAAAAATAGCACTGTTGCATGAGAAAACTTGAAATATGACATTTCATGAAATTAAGCCCAGGCTTGCTCCTTCTTGATGTTAACTTTCAAGCAAGCATGCAGAAGAAATGGTCAAAGTGAGAAGATCGTATCCATCAAAACAAATGGTAACCATTGAAGGGAGAAGAACAGATCTCCATCATTCATTTAATGAAGGTCCTAGAAATGGCTCCTCCATATTTGAGAAAAATGTTCATTATGGGAGGGAGGAAAGAATTGTGACAACTTGCAAACAGGAAATTTTGGCAAGAGCAAGCTGGCTTTTCAGCAACATTGAGGCATCATTGCTGAGGGCTGGTGGAGGAGGCGAAGCCAAAAGAGTTTGAATCAGGAGTTCACAAGCCAGGAGCCCTGAGACCCTGAGCTTGTGAAAGGAAAGCTATGTCACCAGCCCTGCCTAAACACAGGCTTTCATCAGCTCCCCAGGGAGCCATCACGGTGCCACCAGAGATGGGAAGTTATGATATTTCTCTTCCTCCAGGAAAATTGATATTACAGTGTCCAAAAACTGGCTTGTGTAACATGATGGGCCTTTTAGATCAGATTCAAGTTTGGAATGGGGATGGCTTAAGTGCCATGTTTACAGTTCTATCAGGTCAGAAGGTTGCAGGGGTTCTTAGGTGTGCTGTCTACCTCTTCCTGTCTCTCTCTGAGCTCAGCAAGGTCTGACAGTCTAGCCTGACTTCAATCCACACCAGATGAAGTTTTGCTTTTCAGAACCACAGGTCTAAGTTCACCCGAAACACGATGTCCAAGAGTCTCCCACCTCAGCTCTAGGAAGCTAACAACATAATCTCTGGAAAAGTTGCAGGGGGGTTGGGCATCAGCTTGGCAAGGTGCTGGTCAAAATAACAGGCAAAAATACAAACAAATCTCAGTTTTTTGAATGAGCCTACCTCCAGTTCCTCCCATTCAAAAGAAAAATGAGGAAGAATGAAACCTGGCCAATGCGGAGGACAACAATCACTATTGGCACCAGAGTGCCTGGCAGGCATCCTTGATTATGGGCTCCAGGGTTCCCAGGGATGAGATCTCATATTTTAAGGGTCTCCCCCTCCCCCTTTCCCTAGCCTCACTTGTCCAGGTCATAAGACAGAAGAAAATTCCCAATCAGGCCAAGGGGACATATTGTTATCAATGATTTCCATCTAAACCTCCAGAGGGGTCTTAACCTTTCAGTATCTAAGGAGGATAGGTCATTTAATATGACAGAACTATGTCCCATTTCTGGTCCCAGTTCATTCTGTCATCTTTGGCCCAATATCATCACAACAGCAGGAATCTAGCATGTGTACAGCAATGTGAACAGCACAGCTGAGCAGGGTTTGTCCTTCCAGCTCCAAGGAAGCTGCCTCTGGGAGCTGGGCTTCCCCTGCTTATCCTTGCAATCAATCCACCCCCCTCCTAACCATGAGTGGTCTGGGTGCATCCCTTTCAGAGAGTCCCCAACCTCACCAATGTCTGAACTGCTGCTCTGAAGTCCAAGTCAACAATCAAAATGCCATCGGTGCTGGTGTCTGCCAGGAAGCTTCACTACTGTAGCAGAAAGCCTCAGCCACAAGGACCCCACCCCCAGTCATCCCCCTGTCCCAACTGCCTTGTGCCTATTTTGAATATATCTCTATGTGTACCTTGTCTCCCTTGAGGCCAGGTATTTTCCCACTTTTGGCTCTGCATCTCCAGTGCCTGGTACAGAGTTGGTGCTTAGTAAATGCTTGTGGATAGATTGAACAGAATCATTCGTCTTAAACCTACTTCAGTAGATCAGAGAAAATGAAAGCTCAGAGGGACCAGAGGCCCCCTCCAATCTACTTGCCGATACCGAGGGCCAGAGAAGCTAAGACTCTTGGCCCAAGTCACTCATAAAGTAAGGCAATGGCGACTGTAAGATGGAAAGTGTCAGACTGGGAGGCCAGAGCACCTTGGTTAAAATCCTGTCTCTGATACTGACTAGCTGTCAGAGAAGTTGCATAACTTCCTTGGCCCTCTTTCTTCTATCTATAAAATTGTATGCCTGTAGTATATCCCGTACAGGCTTGCTGGGTGTATGGTGGGTGTAAAGTTCTCTGTAGCTAAAGCCCAATATGCTCTCCAGCTGCTGTTGCTGTTCATTGCAGGGCTGAGACTAGAACCTTCTGGATCCTTAAACACCACTGAGAGAGAGCTGGGATGAGACTAGGACCTTCTGGATCCCTACACACCACCGAGAAAGAGCTGCTGCCCACACCTAGTTACAGCCAGATCTCAGAACAGAAGGATGTCCTGGTTACTTCCATATTGAGACAGTGGGGTGCAGTGGAAGAAACCTAGAATTATAAGTTAGGAGAGACCCAGGGCAGGAGTCTGGATGTGCTCCTCATATGTGTGATGATCCCAGGACAGTTAGTTCCTCTCTCTGGACCTCAGTTTCTCTCCTGTGCAATACGGATTGCAATACTGACACTACTTCCCTCATGGGGTGATTGTGGGGGAAATGTCAGGCACCAGAACTACTGTCATTATTGCCCTTGTTCTCCAAAGAAGCCTTTGGCATCAAATGGACATGCAAGAGATGGAGAGATTTCTGTCATTTAGAACAAATATCCAACTGTTTCTTCCTCCAGTCGGTTAACTGGTAAAATAAGCAGGTCTTTTAAAAGTACTAGATTTTTGGAAGTAATCGTTGTTGCCCTGCTGGATGGAGCAGGTTCTATGATTCCTGGCCATTTACTTACGTAGCACAGGGAGCTACCCCATCTCCTTGGGTCAAGCAAGGCGCAATCTCCTCCAGGGCAGGGCAGTCTTGGTGGTTGCCAATGGGAAACTGTTTGATGGTCCGTGTGCGGACATGATTCCCTTTATGGGATGATGTATCAAAGCAGGTCTTGGAGCACGGACTCCATTCAGACCACTCAGACACCTGGCACTCCTTGGTGAGCACACAGGACTGGAAGGTGACGGGTAACTTGTCTTGCTGGCAAAGGCTGTAAGAGAACATGAAGAGTCATCAAAAACCACAAACCAATGTGAATGGCCACATTCATTATCCAGGAGCTTGCAATCCCTGAGAAACATCTGTGTCTCCTAAGAGGTACAACTCAGAAAACTGGTAGCAATTTTAAAGACATGGGCAAATCCTTAACATTCATGGTGGGACAGGTAGGGGAAACCACACTAAAATTCATGGTTTCCTGGGATCTAATTCATTGTCGATATGACTCACTAACAAGAAATATGAAACAACCAAAAGTAAGATGAGATGGAAATAAGGAGAGAGCATCATTGTGTATAGAGTGTTTTTCAAATTTGACAGCATCAAGGACGGAGTTGGCAGTGCAGTAGGTAGAGTGCTGCGCCTAGGGTCAGGAAGACCTGAGTTCAAATACTGCCTTAGACACTTACTAGCTGTGTGATTCTGGGCAAGGAGCTTACCTTTTTGGGTTTTTTGCCTTAGTTTCCTCAAATTGGGAAAAGTGATAGTACCTATGATGTCAGGTTATTATGAGGATCAAATGAGATAATATTTGGACATTTAGCAGCATGCCTGACACATAATAAGCATCATATAAATGCTTACTTCTTTCCCCTCCCTATCATTTGCCATTCTCTCCACCTTTGCTCCAGTCTCTTTTGAAGAGATGGAGTCTCATCACATAACCTTTGGGAAATTACCCCTCAATAATTCCCATTCTCTCTCTTATCTTTAGCTTCTTCACACACACACACACACACACACACACACACACACACACACCCACACACACACACCCTCACTTGATTCTACCATGCCCTCAAGCTATTGTCCTGATCTTTCTCTCTCTCTCTCTTCCTTTATATAGCCACCTCATGGAAAAAACCATCTTTCTTCATTGTCTCCACTTTCTCTCCTTCTCTTTTAAACCCTTTGAAGTCCATCTTCTCACCCCACCACTCAGCTGACATCGTTCTCTCCAAAGTACCTAGTCTCTCAATTGTCAGGCCTCATGACCTCTTCTCAGGCCTTATCCCGCCAGACCTCTTCAAGCTTCCATACTGCTGACTGCTGTCTCCTCCTGGACACTTCTTCCTCTCTGGGCTCTAGTGACCCTGCTTTGTCTTGCCTCACCTCCTATGGATTTAATCTTTCCTTAGTCATCTTTGCTGGATCCTCATGTTCCTCTCCCTAACAATGGCTGTACCCTAGGTCTCTGTCTTGAGGTTTCTTTTGTTCTCTCTATATTCCATCATTTTGTCTGACCAGCAATTACAGACTCAATTATCTGTGTGAAAGTGACTCCCAGATCTCTATATCCTGGCCTAGTCTGTCTCCTGAGATCCAGTACCATTTCACTACCTTCCTTTTGCCCATTGCCAACTGGCATCTCAGATTCAAAATGCCCCAAACAGAATTCATGATCTTTCTCCTCAGAGTCACACCTTTCCCTGATTTCCCTGTTTCTGTTGTGAGCACCACTATTTTTGGAATCATCCAATCCTTCAGAGCCATCTTGTGACTCCTTAGCCTTCTTTGCCCTACCTATCCAACCAGATGCCAAGTCTTGTTGTCTGTACCTCCACATTTCTCACATTTATTCCCTTCTCTCCACTCACATGTGAAGTCTAGCACAGGATGTCATCTTTTCTTTTCAGAATTATTTCAATTACCTCCTATTTGGCCTCACTGTTTCTCATTTCTTCCCTCTGCAGTCCATCCTCCACAGAACCATCAATGTGATTTTCCTAAAATATATCACTCCCTGCTCAAAAAGCTACAGAGACATTTAAAGCTCTTCACTACGTGATTTCAGCCATTTCAGCCACACATTACTGCTGCCTCTCAAGTCCAGCCTAATTGGCTCACATGTTATTTCTCACTCACGTCACCTCTTCCATCTCTGTGCTTAGGAATAATACGTCCCTCTGGCCCGGAATGCTCTCAATGCTCTTCATCTTCATTTTTGCTTCTTCGAATCCATGACTTCCTTCGTAATTCAGTTTAAGAGACATCTCTGACCTGAGGCCTTTCTTTATTCCCCCAGTACCAGTACCACCAACATTACCATGCAATTACTTTTTGTATATTTTCTATTATTTAGGTCTCCACATTTTCTTCCAAAAAAATATAACTTAACTGAGGCCAGGGCATCTTTTGCCTTTTTATCAACAGAACCTAGTAATGTACATAGCACATTGAAGGAGCTTTCCCTGGTGTTCTATCTTGTGTTATAATTATTTGATTACAGGTCATATCCCCCATCCCACACCCAGCAAAATGTAAGCTCCTTCAGGCCAGGACTATCTTATTTCTATCTTTGAATACTCAGCATTTAGCACGATTTGGCCTTGAACACATTTTAGTATTTATGAAATGGTGATTGAATTGAACTGCCTTCCTCTGTTCTCAGGGACTAGATTCTCAATTTAAATGGATCCAGAATTTAAGGATCATATCCTATCCCATCTTTCTCATGGGGCCTTTCCTGATCCCCTCCCCCACTTCCAGCCCTGCCCCACCAACTACCTTATGTACTCTTTGTCCACAATCCCTCTGCTTTTAGAATGTAAGCTGAGTTAGGGCAAGGATGGTTTCATTTTCACCAATGTAACCTCCATGCCTGGTTCAGTGCCTGGCAGTAGTGGGGATTTAATGAATGGTCATTGACTAGTAGATTTCCTTAAAGATGTCATTGATTGAAGTATCAAAAGGTGAAGCTGCTTCATCTCTGAAGCAGTCTCAGTATAGTCCTGGACTCTCTCCATCTCTCTTAATGATCTCACTGGAGACATGACTCCTGAGCTCAAACACTTATCCCACTGTCGTATATCAATATCATCCCCTGTCTCACTCTGAGAGTAATCCTGGTCTCTGTGATCAGTCATAGATTATGAGGGTAACAACTGTGATGATGCTATGCTGTTTCCTGACAAAGAGAGCGATGCTGAGAGTCCATGGGTTATATGTTCTCTCCTGCTCCCTGGGACCAATGGTGTCCATGGGCCAGGCTTGGCTGATCAGGGCAACTGGTGGCCATGGCAGTGGTCTTCTGCTTGGCTAAGCTCACCACACACAGAAGAAGAGAGACCATTCAGGTTTTGGCTATTAATTCTGTTTGATTCCAGGACTCTCCTCTTTTAGACATGTGGATGCTGACCCTTAGAATCATTTACTTGAGACCGGAAGATTCGGAAGAAGGACCTTTAAAAACAAAGGTCTATAAGAATACCAAGGAGATCAAAGAAAGAGGAAAAGGATTCATTTATAATAAGATTTATAGCAGCTTTTTTTGTAGAGGCAAAGAACTGAAAACAAAGGCAGTACCCACTAATTGGGGAGTGACTGAACAAATTATGGTTCATGAATGTAATGGAATAAGATCATGATATAAGAAGTGATGCAAGAGATAATTTCAGAGGAATGTGGAGAGACTTACGTAAACCGATGAAGAGTGAAATGAGAAGAACCAGGCAGCTAGGTGGTCCAGTGGCTAGAGTGCTGGACCTGGAGTCACCAAGACCTGAGTTCAAATCTAGCCTTTCTAGTTGCGTGACCCTGGACAAATGACTTCATGGTGTCTGCTTCAGTGCTTTGTAAAACTTAAAGTACTCCACATGTACAAAAATAATTATAGCAACTCTTTTTGTGGTGGCAAAGAATTGGAAATTGAGGGGATGTCCATCAACTGGGGAATGGCTGAGCAAGTTGTAGTATATGAATGTAATGGAATACTATTGTGCCATAAGAAATTATGAGCAGAAAAAATGAACTGCAGAAAAACCTGAAAAGACTCTTATGGACTGATGCTGAGTGAAGTAAGCAGAACCAGGAGAACATTGTACATAGTACCAGCCACGTTGTGCAATGATTGACTTTGATAGACTTAGCTCTTCTCAGCAATGCAAGGATCTAAGACATCTCCAAAAGTTTCATGATGGAAAATGCTATCCACATCCAGAGAAAGAACTATGGAGTCTGAATGCAGATTGAAACATACTATTTGCTCTTTTTTTCCCTTCCTGTTTTGTTTTGTTTCTTCTTTCTTGTGGTTCCTCCTATTGATTCTAATTCTTATTTACAACATGACTAATGTGAAAATATGTTTAATAGAAATGTATATGTGGAGCCTATATCAGATTGCATGCTGTCTTGGGGAAGGAGGCAGGGAAGAAGGGGGAGAAAATTTAAAAATCAAAAGCTTATGGAAGTGATTGTTGAAAACTAAAAATTAATAAGTGAATTTAAAAAAACCCTTAAAATGCTCTATAAATGCCTGGTACTAACTATGGTTGGGGAGGACCAATGATAATACATGTTACACATCTGCTGACAGAGAAGGGATGTATAATATGCAGAATTTTGGACATGGTAAATAGGGGTTCATTTTGCTTGACTACATGCATATTTGTTATATGATTTTCTTTTTCTTTTCTCCAGCGAGAAAGGAAAAAATAAATATTTTCTAATTGAAAAAATAAAATTTAATTTAAAGAAGATTCTGCCTCCACAGGGCCTATGCTCTTTTTCAACTAAGCCATCATTGATTATTAATAGTGAGAAAGACACAAAACTAGCTATAAAAATAAGTTATGATTGCTGATCTGCAGGTTTATGATATTAAGAAAGATGGAATAATTCCAAGAGTCTAGACAAATTAGTGGTGGAATGATAGATTCTCCATTTCCTATTTGTCCCTGGTTTGCCATCAGCAGGATATATGCCCTAAGTTGTGTGGCTTCTACCCTGTAAAATTCTTTATCTCCAAAATGGGACATCAAACCATTACTCATGTTTCCCTTTATGTATCTTGTTTCTCTAAAATTTTGGAACTTAATTAGTTAAGAATTTATTATATGCTTTATAACCTTTGGCTAGATCATCAGGCTAGAGACAAGGCTTCAGACCCTGCTGAGGTCAAGGATGGCAATGAGCATGTGAGAGGTGGGCAGTGTGCTATAATGAATGCTGAACTTGGAATCAAAAGATCTCAGCTTGAATCCTGCCTCAAAT